GTCTTTTCCTCCAGTTTTCATGTTTGTTTATTTCTTTTTTGAAGTTAATTCATGCATCTCTTCCATGAAAGAGAGAGACAGAAAGAAGAAAATGTACTCCTAAAGGGGCTTCCATCCATGATCCAGCCCAGATCATAAATACCTGTGCATATTCTCAGTATGCTTAGCTAGGTCCTCAGTTCGCATCCCAGGACCTTCCCATATGGGCCCAGCTGTGTTCCTGCTGTGCACTGTACGCCCACTTGTTTTCTTATTTTCAACGTATGCATGTGGTACATGGTTATGCTGAGGGCCAGCAGTGATCAGGACCTTGGGGATGGCAGTTTACATCTGGCACCATGACACTAACAAACCCTCTCAACTCTGGTACAGGAACAGGGGCCCTAGCCAGAAAGCTCCTTGTGCAGTTGTCTTCATGGATACGAGGCGGCCTCTGTTCATAGACCTGAAGACGCACCTCATGGTATACCAAGAAGTGGGGCTTTCCTTCATGCCCAGAGGGCTGGACTGGGCAGCAGAGCCTGCTCAAACTCATCCCAGTGTGGAAACCAAGTGAGCAACACACGCTTGCGGCCTTTCCCAGGCCAAAATGGAGTAGGACTAGAGGCTGCCAGGAAACCCCTGTCCACACGTTGGGCTTTCCCAGCATGAATGCCACCCAAGTAGGGAGAAGAGGATCCCAAAATAGAGTGTGAGCACCCTGAGGCTTCTGAAAGCCAGCTGTCCCCCCCCTCTTCAAATTCATCATGCAGACTGAAAATAAGTTAAGTTTAATATAGGCTTAAGAATACCTAAGACCCCTGGAAGTTGACCTCATCCCTTGCTACTCACAACAGAGGCAACCCTTGGTCCCAGTCAGCTGGAGCCTCTCCCACTCTTGTCCTCTCAGGACACTTTCTATTGCTGTCTCTCTCAATGTTTATTTATTGAATGATTGAGAGAGACAGATAGCACCCCCAACAGGTTCGAATGCCGCGATCCACTCCCAGCTTCCGCCAGCCCAGGATGGTCACGTACTTGGCCAGCAAGGTCAGGGAGGTCTCTGGGTGTGACCCTGGAACCTCCCCATGTGGGTCAGCCTTGCAGAGGGTGACATTTCGCAACGGCACCACTGTCCTCTCTGCCCTTCACTCTCCCTTCACCTCTCTATCTGTTCCTGTTTCCTCTTCTGCACCTCCACTCTTGCCAGTTCTCTGTCTGGAATGTTTTCACACTTTTGTCCTTGTCGATCTCAGACTCTGACCCAAGACCTGGCTCAAACTCCTCACAAAGATGCCCCTGACTACAGTCACCATGGATAAGCCCTTTGCTCTGTTACCTACAGCTTTCTCTAATTCCTCATGGCTAAGTTGCTGTCTTAGTCTGCCTCTTACTAGGCAAGTTACTAAGTATTTCCAAGCTTCCGTTTGCACCTTTTTCAAATGGGAAGAGTGGGGGCCAGCAGGTTGCATAGGTGTTAAGGCACTGGACACCCACATGGCAGACTGTGGTTCGAGTCCCAGACATGGTAGCTTGAAAATTATGCCAGGCACATGCGCGTGGATGCCCAGAATCCCAGGAGGAAAAGGGATTGCAAGTGTGGCCCTTTCCCCTGAACCCATGAAGGTTGAGTTCCCACTCTCCCTCTCACTGTCTCTCTCTAGCAAGCACACATGTCCTATGGCAAAAACCTTCAAAAAAAGAAAGAAAGCAAGAAAGCAAGAAAGCAAGAAAGAAAGAAAGGAAGAATCTATTGACAGGGAAATTCTAAGGAATAACCATAAAAATGGACTCAAAAGTGAAGTTTCCACTTGGAGAACCAGTGGGCACTTAATGATGCTAGGGAGAACTTCTGCTAGAGCCTGGTTCAAAGAAGGGTACATGCAGGTACTTGGGTAACTTTCTGGCTTGACGCCAAAACTATTGAAACCCCCTGGAAAACAAGACATCTCAGACAAAGGATGCTCACACATCCATTGTATTGCTGGTTCCGTATTCTATGAAAACACAGCAAAGCGAGGGATACACTGAGGCCAAAACTAGTGTGACTGGGACATTCTTGCTTGGAGCAGACATGATCAGAAAAAAAATTTAAAAAAAAATAACTAGGTATCTGAAGAAAGTCCATAAATAGAGTCCCAAAGGAGAAACAAAGCAAGAGAAGAAAGGGAGATTCAACTACCTTTTAATTTCTTGGTTTAGCAAGATGACTATTGTGAAGCTTAAAAGGGAAATTACAATATACTGGGCAGTGTACTTCCAGCATCCAATTTTAATTCTTGCAACTACTTGCTTTATCTCTATTTTATAGCCTGGGGAAAGGCGGATCAAACAGAGCACATGTCTCATCTCAAACTACACAGCAGAGCTGGGAATCAAGCTCCAGTCCACCTCGCACCTCAACCCTTATGCTATCTGGGCTGTCGGTAGAACACACCAGGCTGATACCTCGTGGCTTAGGACTTAGTGGGCACCGTTTTGTATGAGTCTCTGCCACCTCCACCCACCTGCTGCCCAGGTCCTTTCCTATTGATCTCAGGAGCACCAAGATTTTATTAGAAAAGACATGGCTCTCAGCCACAAAACAAAAAGTACTTCACAAGCGCATGCTTCTATAACGTCACACATCTCCCTGTATCCCTCTTTTTAAGAAATGCTGAATTTTGCTCAAAACCTTCAGGTTTTTTCCTAAACACCTCAGTGTATTAACCAGTTTTTTGATACGCATTTTGCCATTTCCGGGATGTAAGTAGTGGACTCTCTCCAGCAGCTTGTGCCCGAAGGGTTGGCTGCTGCTTCTGCGCATCCTCGGGAGGGTTCCTAAAGCCTCCTGCCCCGAACTCCAGCAGCTCAGCCTCTCACAGCTCAGCGCAGGAACTGCAGACCCTTCTGAACCCTTGCACTGATGACTCCCTGGGTCTGTTCTTGAACATTTGCAACCCCTTCCCAAAGTAGGGAATGAATCACAACCCCCAAATGAAAAGGCATTTTGGGAACGCATCTTTACCTCAAAATCCCTTTGTAAAAGTCTTTGATACTTGGCTTTAAATTTCCTTTAGATATAGATAACTCATACTGAAAATTCTGGAGATTGTCTAAATGATCTGAAAGTTCTAACACCTTTCAATAAAATTCACATCTTCAGTTTTAGAGAAATGTGACCCCTTCAGGCACAAATTAAGAAAAAACTTAAATTTATTCTTTCATTTCCAGAAGGCACGTGTTCTAGTGGAGACAGAGAGAGAGGGAGAGAGAGAAAGAGCAAGAAAACATTCTCATGAGAAATCATCTAACCACAATCCCTTTTCCTCCACTTCTCCCTTCCTTCAGGAGTTTGGGTATGTATGCACATGCAACTGGCATGATTTTCAAGCTGCTGGGTCTTGAACTTGAACCGTGCAGTTGGCTATGGTATATCAGTCACCTTAAGTAGCAGGCCAGGGACTGGCCTACAGAAAACTTTTTTTAGAGAGAGACTTTTGCTTTAGGGTGCATGCACTGACCAGAGAGATAAACAGGAAGTAAAAAATCACTCCCCAGAGAGGATGGCCACGTGGCAATCCCTTTTATCCCCAGTCTCCTCTTGAGATTTTGGGCACACACACACACACACACACACGCCCAGCATGAGTTTTAAGCTGCCGGGTCCAGGACTCAAACCATGATCAACTATGTGGGAATCCAGTGACGTAATCATTACGCCATCTGCTGGTCCCAGAAAAACATTTTAGTAAGTACATTTGTTTCATTCGCTACTCATCCTTCATCTCATCCGTACTTTGTAAAATCTAAAATCAGTAACAGCCACCATTTATTAAGGACCATCGATCAGAGACATGGATCCAAGAATTTCCCATACCTTATCTCATTTAATTCTCCCAAGAAATTTATGAAAAGTCAGAGGCTTGAGAGTTATGTAAGTTGCCTCTGGCCACCCAGTGAGTATGGCAGTCGGAATTCAAACATAAATATGACTCCAACACTCCCCCTCTCATTACTCTGTGATGCCACATTAGTCACAAAATATTTTCTTCCCTCCTGAAATAAGTACTTGTCCAAGTATCATCCTGCAGATCAGTGCGACAGCAGAAAGACCCACAGGCCCTCTTTGCTAGCTCAGTGTGTTCTTTCCACAATAGAAACAGAAAAGATGGGGGAGGGAATGTGGGATCAGAGGAAGCGTTCACCTCTGACCTCTTTCCTTCTGTTAAGGGTCCGATGAGCAGTCCCTGGAACAAATGGGATGAATCTGTGGGCAGTTTCCCATTTACGTCTTTACATCCCTGATGGGAAGGACGAGCTGACAGGACAAACCTCAGCTGGGAAGAGAGGGCTGAGCCTGGGCCCCGCGTCTGTATTAATTAAATTAATTGCCCCTGCTTCCTCCTGGTGTCTCACTCCTCTCCTCTCACTCCAGTCAGCGAGTCGTGAAATGAGGACAGGGCTCCAGGGAAGTGGATACCGCAGCTGCTCATCCGCGGCCAGAAATGACAACAGACACAGGTGTGCAGCTATCTTCTCCCCCAGGGGCTCCCCTTCCCACACACCACGCTAGAGCTCTCTAACCGAGGGCAGCACAGCACTGTCCCATCCGAGAGGAGCAATCCAGCGTGCTGGTGGAGCCGGCAAGCTCACACTTTGGTCTGAAGCCTCACGCCCTCCATCTCTGTGGCGCGGCCGAGGCCTCAGAATGTTTCACCTTTGCTGAACTTTCAAACACAAATACTTCATTCCACTTGAGAGCGCCGCTGGCACAGGCAGCCCAGTTCTCCTCCACTCCCTTCATGAGGCCCAGTTTTTAAAAACATTATTAATGGTCAAGAGATTCCAAACAGAATCTGCCTGCCAAGATTTATCTGGCAAAGGAAATTTACTCTATCTCCTGAAACAGAGGGATTCAAAATCAGTTCCAATCTTTTCACTAAACGTTTCACTGACTCATTGGAGAGAAAAACCACACTCTACACAAACCCAGCAGTTGGGAAATGAAGCCTCAGCACCCCGTTTTCTACGGCACTTACCCTCAGTGTTGGACTCGATGTTGTCTTCCACTCCGACCACGTACCTCCCTCCACTCCGGGGTAGACTGTGACCTGGCAAAGCGGAATTTAGAAGAACGGCTTCTCCGTTAGGATGGCCTGGAGGAATGTCCGTTTCTGAAGGCACTGCCCCTCCATCTGGATAGGGCCGGGTGTTTTTGCTTCCAGGGTAGGGTGGTGGGGCTTCCCAGGAAGGAGCCAATGGGTCTCCATCTACCTCTGATGGAGTCAAGCTTCTGGTCTCTATCTGGTCTGAAGACTCAACTTGGCCTTGTAGATCAGGGGCCTCTCCCTCCCTCAGAGAGACCCCCTCTTTGGTGGCAGATTCTGTTTCGGGGTAGAATGGCTGATCACTAGGTATTAGATGTGGCAAAGGAGAGGCCAGATCAGAATCTGGAGGAGAGATCTCTCCTCCCAAAGGCCCTGAATCAGCTTTCGAGTGAAAGGAAACATCAACAGTGCTACGGCCATTTGTTGCCCCCTCTGGTTCGCTTGGTGGGTACTCAACTTCCTCCTCATTCTCATCGTAATAATCCAAATTGTCCTCAGTATAGTCATTTCCCAGGGCTGCAGCATGGCTGGTCTGTTCCGGTGGAGCTGCAGAGCGGGCTGTGGTGAGGTGTCCTCCACCTGCAGCTGGGCTGACATTGTCCAGCGGGGAAGTGCTGCCAATATGAAAAGCCCACACGCCAGGAACCCCCAGGTTGCTCAGTCTAAATAAAAAGGGAGAAGTTGACTGTAACCAACATGTCCTTTCAACCACTTTCCTGCAATCGTGAGCAACTTATTTTATTAATAAAACTGAAATACTATGAAGATCAGATTCAGAGTTTTCACCAGTATATAAAACCAAAATAAATAAGCAGAAAAAAAAAGATTTTATTGGAATTTTGATATAAACTACCTTTTCAAAAAAACATAATTTATTTCTTTCTTTCATGAGAGAGACAAAGTGGGGGGGCATCCCCAACAGGATCCCCATGGTATGATCCAGTCTTAGCCAATATGGATCACAAGGATGAAATTGCATGCCTGGTGTGCTCAGGGAGATCCCAGGAAGCAAACCCAGGACTTTTCCCATGTTGGTTCAGTCAGGCCATCACTGAGCCACCACTTGGGTCCAAACCACCTTTTAGTTAACATCATGTTCCGGTGGCTGTGTGTCCACACAAAGCCAGACCCTCAAGTTATAAATCTGCTCTACGATCCAAATACGTTATCTAAAATCTGGCAATTTAAAAACAAATAGGAACTATGGGATTATTTTATCCTTCTGCTTCTGTCTGAAAATGTGTGGTACACTCAAAAATATATGTGCCTAAGGGCTGGCCCAGTAGCTTAGTGGCTAAGGGAGTCAGATACCACATGGTGGACCACAGTTAGAATCATGGCCCTGGTGGACTGAAAACACATCAGACACGATAAGGGAGTCAGATACCACATGGTGGACCACTGTTAGAATCATAGCCCTGGTGGACTGAAAACACATCGGACACAAGAATGTGCATACCCCAAATCCCAACAGGATGGAGAAATGGAGGAGAAGGGACTGTGGCACATACACACCCCACTGGGGAGTACTTTCTCTCCCCCACAGCCTTGTCTTTCTGTCTGTCTCTAGTAAGTACACATGCCTTCTGGCAATTAAATAAAGAAAATAAAAATGCTTAAAAATCTACCAACTACAGGGGTCAGCAGGTGGCATGGTAGTTAAGGTGCTGGGATCCCACATGGTCAGCTGCAGTTCAAGCCCCAGACTCAGTGGCTTGGACATCACACCTGGCATGTGTGCATGTGTATCCAAAATCCCAAGAGAAGAATGGAGGAGAAGGGACTGCAGCATGGCCATCTCTCTTGGGGGATGGTTTCTCACTTTCCTTCTTTGTCTCTCTCTGTCTCTCTCCAGCGAGTGCATGTGCCCTATGGCAAAAACCTAAACAAAAATATCTGCCAAGCACCAACAGTAATGACGACTGTATGCCTTTGAGAATTGGTTGTGTGCCAGCATCTGTACCAAGTGCTTGACATTCTTCAATACAATCTACAAGGAGGGCAGTGACCATGATCAGTCTGACAGAGGAGAAAATGGTTTCAGAGAGGTTAACTAATCTTAAGATCGTGTAACTAATAATTGACAGAGCCTGGACTTGAATTTAGAACCAACACCACAGCACTGTTCTAAATACCTCCATTAACTTACATTAGAAAACTAGTATACTAGTTCAATCACATCTGCATCATTACTCTAAGAAATGTTAAAGGCACTTCACTGTTTATTCACATGGACTAAGCAAATAACTAACCCAGGAGTGAATCAATGTAAAAAAAAAAATCAAGGAAGTATGTCCAGATCTACAAAAAAATTTTGAGCAAATGCAGAACAGAGAAGAAAATAAAAAGTAACTTAATCTGAGTGTGAGAAATCTTTGCAAAAACATCTGGAAACATCTCATTCATTTTCTCTACTACACAAAAACAGGAACTCCATTTGGTCTTTCAAATACCCCAATAACCCATTATTTTAGAGACAATGGTACCTAAAGAGAACCACTACATATAAGTTACTAAAAATAAGGGAAAACTAAACAAAGATCCAGCTAGCTTGAATACATCAGTTTGTGTACTTCTCTGGTGTATGTACAAAATACCATGTTCAAATTCTCCCATGCAATGGAATTTCCTGAAAAGTCAACAGTGAGTAATAAGAGTTAATGACTAATAAGATAATAAGAAATATATTGACTCATATAAAGGAAGAGATCTCTGCTCATTTGGATAGCTATTCATCCTGTGAATTTCCATAGCAACAATATTTTCAACACAATTGAATTATGTCTTTCCCCCTTGTGTGCGCACACATGCGTGCGTCCACTGCTGTTACTGTTGCTGCTATTGCTATAGTTAATTTAGGGAAAGAGGGGTACAGAGATCAAATCTGTGATCTTTTATGCAGTATACTATGTATCTTTGATAAATTTGTAAGAATAATGCTGGTGTGTTTTGACTACCAAATAAAAAAACCTAAAGGAGATGACAGAATCTTATAGATCCGAGGATACTGAGTTTATTATCACTGAGGTGTTACAGCTGTGAACTTTCTCCTTGACACCAGAAACAGGAAACTATGAAAACTTTAAAGAGTAGGAAAATACAACTTATGACAGCTAAGTAAAATAGCCTCCTAATAGCATATAAATGACTATTTTTGTCATTGTGCATGAACGGATAGTAACTCATCTGAATTTATTCTAAATTCCAAGGTCATTTGGAAAATTAGTAACAGAAAGACCTTAACTGATTTTCTAGGAAGGAAAACCAAGCTACAAAATGGGATGACAGTGCCTTCCACCCTGAGTGATTAGAAAGAAGGCTTTGGTGACAAAGACACACGTGTCAACTAACACAAATAAAAAAGACATAGCATAGGCCCAGTATGTAATAAGTACTTAGTAACTGCTATCTTCTCTTCCAGGAGATAGAAAAGTATAATCTTCCAAAACGCAAATGTGTGCACTCATACTTAAACTTGCAGAAGAGAATGACAAATACTATCAATAATTTATGACCTTTGCATTTACAATAATGAGACAAGTTGAGGAACAGAAAGATTCCATTGACTAGGAAAATTACTTTACTCTCTGGAACTGTATAATGAAGTACATTGGAATGAACTGGCATGATATTTCTAACTTACTTTTAAACACTTATACCGTCCCCAATGAAAAAACAACATGAATATAGCAAAATATTGGGTCACCTGAAAAGTCATAATGCATTTTTGCATGGAAAAATATGGCATGACTTTTCTGACAAGCCATATTTAAAATTTATGAACCTAGGTGATAGATATTAGGGTGGTCATTTAGCTATTTCCTCCATGTTTCTGTATGTTTTTGAAAATTAAAATAATGGAAAGTAAAATAGAAGATTATTAAGATACATGAAAGATAAATAAGATATATAAAAGATAAATGCCTCAAGTGTAGCAAAAGAACCACTCTGGTTTTAAAAAGTTTTTGTATACACCTAAAATTCAGAAAGGACTGTAAATATTGGTTATCACCTAAAGTACAATTATTTATATAATTTTGAAGTAGAAAAGGTCTTTCTAAGAATAACACCAAGACTCAAAATTATAAAGGAAAAGACAAATAACTTTGACAGTCTGAAACTTAAAACTTCTACATCATAAATAAGTTTAAAGTTAAACAACAACTAGATAAATATTCACAGCAGATGAGAAAAATAATATCCTTAGTATTTTTTTCTTAGTAAGAATCCTATCTAAATATTCCAACGGAAAAAAGCAAAGAATGTACACAGACAAGTCACATACACGCACAAGGAGATACATAAATGGCTTGTGTGAGATCCTATGAGGGTGCTTGTCTCTCTCTCTCTCTCTCTCTCTCTCGAAAGAAAGAAAGAAAGAAACTTTGAGGTTTGTTGCTTGGGACTTTGAAACAATCTTGTGCCCCTCCCTGCAGCATCCTGACACTCATTCCAGTGAAGGGCCTTGCCTTTCGGCAGGCCAACTGCTGCTGGAGGGCTTAATGGCTGGGACCTGTGGCTCATCACCTCCCTCACTCACCTTTGAACTCTCAGAACTTCCATGATTTCTATAGCATCTTGCATGCAACCTCTTCTTTGTTCCTGAATTGAAGCTCAGCAGCTCAGTTTCAGGCACACAGGGAGGACTTGACCCCAAGTGCAATGACAACAGTGCAAAGCGCTGATGAGCAACAGGGAGGTAGAGCAGAAGAGAGATCACCAATTGTCTATTCCTGCATGCCTTTGAATGCTCGGAAGTATCTTGAATAATTTAGGAAGAAATGTACAGACACCAAATGACTAGAAACCATTGCAGAAGCACAAGAAATATGAGTAACCAACAAAATGTCTCTCCCCCAAGAGAAAACATCAATTCCTCGTCACCCATAGACAACACAATGGAACTTGTGGAAATGTCGGATAAACAATTCGGAATATTTATAGTAACAAAACTAAATGAGATGCGAGAGAAAAGAGAGAACAAGCTCCAAGAGATGAGGAAGTTCTCTCATGATTTGAAAGAAGAAATAGACACCATGAAAAAGAATCAAGCAAAATTGTTAGAGATGAAGAATGTGATACAGGAAATTAAAACCTTCCTTGAAAGTATTAAAAGTAGATTAGATCATGCAGAAGATCAAATCTCGAATGTAGAAGATAAAACCTCTGACCTAGAAAAAATTATCAAAAAGACTAAGAAAACAACCAAGAAAAATCATGATAATATATGAGAAATACTAGATACCATCAAGTACCAAACGTCCAGATAATTGGTATCCCAGAAGAGGAGGAAAATAATAAGGACATTGATAATTTATTCTATGACATCCTGGAAGAAAACTTTTAAAATCTAGAGAGACATTCAAATATCCAAATTCAAGAAATACATAGAACCCCAAATAGAATCAACCCAAGAAGATTCTCTCTAAGGCACATCATAGCCAGACTGACCAAAACCACAGAGAAGATACTAAAATTGGCAAAAGGAAAACATCAAGTTATTTACAAAGGTTATCCTATCAGGCTAACATCTGACCTCTTAACAGAAACAATGCAGGCAAGAATGGAGAATGGAAAAAAGAAGTCCAAGTACTAAATGAAAAACAAAAAAAAGAATGGAGGAAAATAGACAAAGTATTAAATGAAAAACAATTTCAGTCGA